CAGGGCATCATGTGGAGGTTGATCGGTGCTTCTGCTCTGCAACCTTACTCATCGCAAGCAGAAAAGGTATGCTGAAAACCTTTGAAGGTTCCTAAAAGGAAATCTGTGAATGTGCATGAGGAATCCTATTCTTGTAGCTGAAGCAAATTCTCGGACCAAAATCCGCGACGGATGACGAAAAGTCAATACCGACGCACTTCCAGGAGGCAAGAGGTGAGAATCTTCAAGTTGTGGAGCTTACCTGCGCACTTTGGGTTCTTGCCGTTCAGGTAGCAATGACGGCAAATGATGAAACCTTCCCTTTCTTCAAACTTCTCTTCCTCTTGAATCCGGCAGCCGCACTCGTCACACAGCAAATGATTTACGTGCCATAGCTGAAGAAGAAAGACTGCCATATCTTGAAGTGTGCAAGCGGTGGTTTTTACATCTTCCTAGAGGCTGTTTTTATTCCTGGGACGGAGGGGGCATAGTGGAAGGCACGCTTACCACCTGCACGGTTCGGGGATCAAATCTCGGATCAGCTCATGCCCAGAGCAACCAAGCGTTCTACCCTCAGGAGAAAGTAAAGTGGCATTGGATTCTTCGGGAGGATGAAACACTGACTTGCACTGTCCCACCCCTTAAATCATTGTATAGGCACAAAGCATCCAATAAGCCATCACTACTGTGAATGGAATGGAAGTGGAATGCGTGTCGCATCCCATGAAAGGACTGATCAACGGGGCAGACTCTATCCTTTTTCCTATTCCCACTCCTTAGCCCAAATAACTTTGCATTCTTCGTTAAATTGAAGGATCGGAGAAGCAGTTTGAGGGAAACCGGAGAGTCGACTGGGGTCAGTGTAGAAGGATCGCAGAAGCACTTTGAGGGAAACCGGAGAGTCGACTTGGGGTCAGTGTAGGGGTTTTTCTGGAAAAGTCAGGAGGTTCCTAGAATGCACGGAAAAGATTGGACGATTATCAATTGGTTTTCGAATCTCCATTTCCTTGCTTCTACAGTTTTGCGGAAATTTGGTATGATACACAACTCGTACACAGTATAAGAGTGGAAGAGATTTTGTAGAAATAGATCTGTGGACAGAAGTGCAGAGACTATCAGAACCTAAGTGAGCTCATGATAAAGCTGTCAGACCAGCTGCTAATATCTGTGCCTGAGGGATGTATATATAGGACTGGATATCGGATACTGAGCTTCCTGCATGGCTGTGCATAGGATGCAGGCGAGTTTTCATACGAGGCTCATTTTGATACCGAATGAGTGGAGCCTGCTCGGCATGGGCTACTACATATACGAGAAACCTCTTCGACAACAACAGCAATCATTCTCATGGATGAAACTTTCCCTCTAAGATAGCGAAGAGCAGGAGTGCACCAATGAGAAATGCACGGGGGTTCAAGCAGGTTGCGCCTACAGGATCAGCGTGGGATATGCCTTTTAGGCCTTCTACGATTCAAAGGGGAAGCATAACAAAGTGAAGTATACAGTGGTGGGAAAAAGGACAGAGCACTTGATCGCACTCTGCTAGTATTTTAGGCCTAGTAGGGACCCATCGTGCCAACTGCCTTTAAATGCGTTGCCCACACAGAAACTTTAGCGGATGTCAACATAAAACATCTGTAATCACCTCACTTTGTAACCAACTCACCCTTCCCCTAGCGAAAAGTGCTGGCTCGTCCTCGATTTTGCGCTCGCAATAACCGCAGTAATTCATTAGAGCACTAGCAATGAACCTATCCTGACCTTTCATTTTGCACTTTTCACAGCTGTGATCACTTATCAAGTCTGCGTTATCAAACATCCGTTGTGAAACATAACAGCGAAAAACATCAAAACGACCGTGAAAGACTACAAAAACCCTTTTGGAAATCGTTAATCACTCCGCTGAGGCACACAATCCGTGAGATTGCCGGTATGTATAATCGTCCGAGATGTGGAAGCGATAAGGACGCTAATCAAGTTATAAGATACAGAAAAGAACCGCTTGCAAGACTAGAAACCCAATACAAATTGGTGTATTGCTTCTTGTGATTACTATAATATCCAGTTGGTATGTCACCCTACGGGTACCAAATCGTGGAGGTTGGCATGTGCGGAAGACGCAGTGCATGCGCAAGGAGAGAGGACAGCAGGTGGGACAGAAACCCTGGTCGCAAACGCGCTGGAAATCAAGTAAAATGCAGAAAACGCAAACAAATTTTTTGTCTTCGTTATGGAGACTTAAAGTATTCATAACAAAGAAAGAAAAGATGGTGTCACTGCCATGGAGAGAAAAGCCCAGATCAGTCCTGAAGAGGTTGAACTGGGCGCCCATTTTTCATGATTATGATTATGATTCATTATCGGTTAGCAACGCAATCAAAACAACACTGATTAATAGCTTGTCGACGCGTTAAGATCATGGAAATGAAACAAAAAATGGTAAGAGCGCTAATATGGAGAGGGAGTAGGTGGAAGCCTCAGCGGTGAAGAGCAGTGGCCCGCCAACACTGCAAGTCGCGAGAGTTCGGAGCGGCTCCGAAGAGCTTAGTAGGTCCGTCAACCGCGCCAAGGGGGGTCGCCTCATGGATCACCGGTTATCAGGCGAGAATTCTGAGGGAATATATAGGTAAGACATGTATAGTAAGACAAAAAGCAACCGCTCAAGACACAGCTAAATACTAATGAGAAAATAGCTAAGGATAGTAATTTATACTATTTGGAACACATTGTTGGACAAGGACTGAATGATGTAACTAAGGTTAAAATGGGACAGAGATGCAATACGTGGTAAGAAACAAGAGAAATGAAGCCCCAAGGAAAGCTCACAAGCAAAGGTAAGCCAACATATAGCCAGCAGCAACAACAGAACATGCAACGAACTCAGAACACAACAGGAAAAAAATTGCAACTGTCATTGAGCTTCAGCTTTAGTTGAACCTTGACGCAGTTCCAGCCCTGCTGTATGAGTAGCCTACTAGTCTTTTCCTTGAAAGACCTAGACGACATCGAATTAACTACCTCGGCTGGCAGACTATTCCAGAAGGAGATAACTCTCTGCGAAAACTCTCTTATAAATACTCGAACGAGTTTTTTCTCTCAATAACTTGAAACAGTGACCTCGCGTTACGCCCGTAGTTACAGATTTTCTAAAAAGTTGGTCGATGTCAACATCGATTTCTCCTTTAACAACTTGAATAAGGCGTCAAGATCCATAATTTTTCTTCGCATCTCGAGGGTTGTCGAGCCAAGAGAGGCAAGACGGTCTTCATATGGGACATGAAAAGGCCTGCTCCTAGCAAATATTCTATTTGTGAAACTGATTTGAACCTGTTCTATCTGTTCCACTAAACACCTAGTTGAAGGCGACCAAACTGGCGCACAGTACTCTAAAATGGGCCTAACGTAAGCCGTGAAAAGCGTGAACAGTGTTTTTATGCTTCTGCTGGAGAAGGCCCGAAGGATAAAATTGCACCGTGATTTATACTATTATACTTGACGCCAAGGTCCCTAATAATAGGTGGCTCAGCTATTCGAATCCCATCAATAAGGAAGTGGATGTCATTGGAACACGGCCCAAGTTTCATCACATAGGTTTTTTCGGGTGATATTTCCAACCCCCAAGTGACAGACCACTGATGCAGCGCTTCAAGTGAAACCTGCAATAAGCGCGGATCACCAATCGAAAACAACTTGACATCATCTGCATACATTGTGCAATCTACTAGTGCAGGCAAGAAGTTTGGAAGATCGTTAATGTACATGAGGAACATGAGAGGTCCCAAACACCTGGGGCACTCCTCTCAGTGTCTCGTAAGGCTCAGATAAACAGTCATTAATCATGACGGATTGCTCTCTACCAGATAGAAACGATACAAGAAATTTGTGTAAGGAACCGGAGATGCCGAAGGTTCTAAGCTTAGAGAAACAAGAAGATTGAGG